CCATACGGATATATTGCCAATATGTATATAAAACGTTGACTCAACGTTGTTTATGGTCGAAGTTTTACATTTAGTTTAATCATTATATAAACTTTTATACCACTTATTTTGTGATATTATTCCTTTATTGAATTACATGTAGTCTGTAAGTGATTTTGTCAGGAAAATTTGCGTTGTACAATCTTTTTCCGTATATTCAAAAAAATATTAAACAAATAAAGTTGGAAATAATTTTTCACCTTCTATTAACGTTTTAAATATTAGTAAATATGTTTTGTTGTTTTATTTTTTAATTCTTTATGAATAATATTAATTAATAAATTGATATTAGAGAAAACCCCGTTTATAAAATAACGCTGGTCAGGGGAAGTAATTGTTGCGGTATGATTTTGTTGGTCTATGATTATCGTTCGTGCAAATAGTGGCGCTGTTTGGAAAATTTGAAAACAACACGATTGGCAATTTATTTGGATTCCGAAGGTATTACCGTTATGTTTTACTTTAGTTTACTGATTATTTTCTAAAATATTATTATTTATTCTTTAAATTCTACTTTAATTTACTTTATGAAATAAATGAGAGATATAAACACACGATTGAGTTGATTTGACACGTTTTCGCCATAGGCACTCGGTTCCAAAACCTTCTATGATTTTAATTTATTTTTAAAAAAAAAATTCATATCATGTATATATAATACTACAAGGTTTCGCAGCCGCCATGTTTTAACGCAACGGAAGTGCGTTGACTGGTGTACAATTTTCATTAAAAAAACACTAGTTCCCGATTCGATGAAGAGACTATTGGCTAATACGGGTACCACAATTATTGACTATTTCGCCGTGGTACCCGCATCAACAATATGCTTTATTATGTGACTCGGCAGCCAGTATTTTTTTGTTAATTGTACACCAGTCAACGCACTTCCGTTGCGTTAAAACATGGTGGCTGCGAAACCTTGTAGTATTTTATATACATGATATACTTTACTTTACTTTATATGAATTTTTTTAAAAAAAAATAAATTAAAATCATAGAAGGTTTTGGAACCGAGTGCCTATGGTTTTCGCGACATAATTGAATGATCAGATGATGTTCGGTAGGCCTTGTAAGTTATTGATGTCATTGGCAATTTATGATTTTACTAATCTTGTCTTTCTTTAATTTATTTTTCATATTATTAAACATTTGTCTGTACTATATCCTATTTAGAATTTAATCAATTTTAAAATTGAAACCTATAAAGTAGTTCGGCCCACTTAATTTACGTCTCAAGACGATTCGTCAATATATATAACTATGTTTATTTATTGATAGTATAATACAGTCTTAATTAGTTTGAGCCAATGAGCAAATTGGCTCCAAAATAATTAAAGTGGCTCAAGAAAATGACGATTGGCTCAAACTTACGAAAAGTATGACTTTTGGAATCTCCAGTCTAAATTTAGCATTTTCTATTTTAAGAATGGAAAAGTACACATCTGGTTTTCCATCTACAACTTCCGTTTTATCACTTCTTATCTCAAAACAGAGCGACACAGTCTACCTTTTTGTGGGTCATTGACTGGTTTATATTTGTAACTTCCGTTCCGAACGAAATATTGATATGAACAGTAACACAGTCTAGTACACTGACCTCAGGCTCAGGGTATGTTGACATGTTTATCAGCTGATAAATACGACACTAATTGGTGTGAAAAATACCTGTGGCAGATTTTTGAATATGCACTGGAGAATTGGTCTTAATATTCAATATTAAACAATAACTAGCGGCATCTCAAGATTATCGCTAATCAAATCAGCATTTTCACGCCCGGCAAACTGTCGCTCCACTTCAAAATTGTGGTGTACGGTAAAACGAGCGAACGGCATTTCCGAGATAGAGCGGAAGGCCGATTTAAACGCCTAATTGTAAGTATTGTTTATGTTTTTGTCTTGTTATACATTTAAGTTGTATTTTTTCGAAAAACGGAAAATGTGGTTCCGTGTAGGATTGATTTGGGCTTCCAATGATCTAAGCTGTTACAAAAAGAAAATTATATTAAGCCCGGGAGAACTTTTCTCCCTGACGAAGCGAACGATGATTTGCAGAATATTGAACTTTCCAACCATAGAAATGCCATACCTTTCGGATTTCTTGAAAAAGTGTATTAGTAAATTATCAACCCGTAATAAGAGCTTGCCCTTCGTGCAAAATAAATTACTCCTGAAGGATTTCTTAAATTTGTAAATCGATATTTTTCGAAAGTAGTGGAGCGAAAGGGCGAGAGATGGAGCAAAAGGTTCGATGTTGAGCGCAAGGCGATATTAATTTGACAAAATCGAATATTTTTAGTTCTACCGCGAACAAATGTTTCCGAGGTACGTGTAACTCGATTGTTCACGCCAAAATGTAATGTTTTTCGAAAAGTTAGATATTCAAGGTGCAAAACACAAATAAGCCATGTTTTCATGAATTTGTAAGGTAGGGAATCGCTATGAAAATGGTTGACAAGGTGTCAGTCTTTATAAGGATATAACACATATTTATTATTTTCGTCTGTAAGTGTAAATAGAAATTTCTACTATAACTAGGTCTATTATATTATTGATAATTTTAGTCTGTACACCGACTGAGTTCTGCCTCACTTTGAGAGGAAAATAATAAACTAAACAACAATGCTAATTAAATAAGGGAGGAAGTATCTTGAAACATAACTGGAAGACGTGTTATAACCTTATAACAACTGACACCTTGTCAACAATTTTCATAGCGATTCCCCACCTTTCAAATTCATGAAAACGTGACTGATTTGTGTTTTGCTCATAACAGGTACGTTAGAGCTATTAATTACAGAAAGTCATTGTAAACTGAACTTGGTAGTAGTGATCCATTTAATTTAATGCGTTCCATGCATTGCATAATTTTGTTTCTGTTCTGCACCTTGAATTTCTAACTTTTCGAAAAACATAACATTTTGGCGTAAGCAATCGAGTTACACGTACCTGCTCGGAAACATTTGTTCGCGGTAGAACTAGAAATATTCGACTTTGTCGCGTTTAGTTTAAACATATTTTATTTCAAACATTTTCACACAAACATATATTACAAACAATCAATTGTTACATAATATACAATGCTGAAAAAGGATTAGATCCGAAAGCATACAATGCTTATAGAGGTCTTTTCCTAACATATAATTCATTACTGTACATTTGTTTGTCCCATTTGCACGGACACACGTTTTTAAATGTACATAACCATGTCAAAAGCCATGATTGACCTCGAATAAGTGGCATCCTGTATTATGCCATGCATTAATGTGTATGATTCAATGGTCGGGCCTCATCCAAATTTCGAACATAAATAATGGAATCTACACGGCAGCCATAGGTGACACCTTCGCGATTACAGTTATTACGCTATATAGTCGTTGAAAGGATATCACAATTTATTAGTTTTCTTTAAAAGGTATATATATCTCGGTCTTAACACTATGTCTATTTTAACTTCTATAGCTTTTATTTATAAAAAATCATTGACTACGCTCCTCCTAATACGTCAAATTAATATCGCCTTGCGCTCAACATCGAACCTTTTGCTCCATCTCTCGCCCTTTCGCTCCACTACTTTCGAAAAATATCGATTTACAAATTTAAGAAATCCTTCAGGAGTAATTCATTTTGCACGAAGGGCAAGCTCTTATTACGGGTTGATAATTTACTAATACACTTTTTCAAGAAATCCGAAAGATACGGCATTTCTATGGTTGGAAAGTTCAATATTCTACAAATCATCGTTCGCTTCGTCAGGGAGAAAAGTTCTCCCGGGCTTAATATAATTTTCTTTTTGTAACAGCTTAGATCATTGGAAGCCCAAATCAATCCTACACGGAACCACATTTTCCGTTTTTCGAAAAAATACAACTTAATAAATAACAAGACAAAAACATAAACAATACTTACAATTAGGCGTTTAAATCGGCCTTCCGCTCTATCTCGGAAATGCCGTTCGCTCGTTTTACCGTACACCACAATTTTGAAGTGGAGCGACAGTTTGCCAGGCGTGATTTTGGGTATGAAATGGCGACAAATTATGTTCTGAAGTTGGCAACTTGACCAGTAAATTTTATTGTTGTTGATGAATTACGAGATGATAATGTTATTGTTGTTGAATTTGATTTGGTGGTGGTGGGAGGGGGTGTTATTGCCAATCAAATCCAGGGCCAAAACACCATTTTTGAGGAAGGGGTTTCGGCCTTTTTCTTGGGGTAAAAACCTGTGGGTAAAAAGGGGTCTCAAATTTAACAAAAAAATTTAACAAGTTCTTCAAAATAAAAAAGCAAAAAGCAGTGGGAATGTTCTTCAAAATAGGACAGCAAAAAGCAGTGGAAAATACTAATGAGGCAGTAAAAGACCTCATTTAATTTTGTTCTAAATTCTATGGGAAATTTCAAAAGACTTTGGGAATTTTAATTGAGGACCAAACTTGGGAAAAAAAGAGGCTTGTTTGGTTGGGGAAGCAGCCTTTATTGGGCCACTACAAAAAAAGGGTATTTTATGGCCCCAAAAATATAAAATTAAGAAGGAATTTATATGACATACAGAGTATTCCTGAAAAACAAAGATTGACCCGATGTCACTACCATGCCACAGACTTAGATTTTAAGGGAACCTTGCTGCCTTCATGTAACTTTTGGCGAATGTTATAGTTACTGACCTCTAAGCTTAAAATTATGATTACTGACTGTAAATTATACTTGTATATGTAAGATTTGTTAATGTAATAAAAATGTAGCTACCAAAATTAAGTTGGATATAGTTAATGCTTTTCTAAATATCCCTCGCTGTGCCATTGCCTGATTTGAAAATAAAATACAGGCAGGCAATTTTTCGACGCGAAAAAATGGCTCAAATAAAAAAATTGCCAGTGCTAGCCCTGATACATTATAGTGATTATTATTAAGTCAAATAACAAATTTGAGTGTTAAACTTTAAGGTTTAATAGTCGTAAATTTAATAATAAATCTATTTCTATTTTATTATATATTATTTTATATTCTAGATCCTGGTCCTGGCTGAAATTTAGAGTATTGCAGCTGTAGCCTGTATACCATACATTCAACATGAAAGGGACTGTCAGGTTTGTTAAATTGAACTTTATTCTTATTAATTTATATATTTGAATTTCTTAACAATACAAAGTATAAATATTTCAACAACTGGATATTTATCTTGTCTTAAAATATATTTCTATCGGAATATTCCTGTAACATTATTAATATAAAATTTACATGTTTGTTTGTTTCAGGATGCTGCATAAAATGGTCTTAGCTAGAGCCAGGAATGTTAATTTCTTGGGAATATGCTGCAAGGAACTGACGGAGAGCAGTTTTTCTTACAAATCATAGGTGAGACTTTTAAATAGCTTCTTTTTAAAAAGATTTTGTTGTCTTATATACAGTATTTGCTGTCAATATCAAACTTAGCTATGTTTCAATTTCTATGCTGTTTTATGATGTAAATCTTAGATAAAAGCATTTTAAGATAAAAACAAATCACTAAGTTGAGTAATTATATATATAATTTGAGATTGACCAAGTCACTTTTAACTACAAACTTCTTATTTTTATTTGCAGAAGCAGTAAGAGACAGCCAAAGACGTACTCGAACACTTGAAATACCCAGAAAGATCTAGAAGAAAAGATTGGAACAGATTTAAGCTTAATTGTTCAAACTATTAAAGTTAATTTTAGCTGCACTTGAGCTGTATTTTTGAAATAAAATATCTGAAGTATTTAATATTGTCTTGATATTTTGTTAAACTTGGTTACTTTGCTTTATATCCAAAAATTAAAGTATGGTGGGTTTTCAACGTTGAAATGACATTGAAACTTCAATGTTGTGCCAACGTTGAAGCTGCAACGTTGAATCAACGTTGAAATTTCAACGTTGTTTCAACTTTCAAATCCGAATATAAATCCAACCTTATTTCAACGTTGAAATCTGACCATAATTCAACGTTGAAACAACGTTGTTGTGCCTGCTGGGGCCGGACATGTCACCAGTCATGTCCTTAAAGAGTTAATTTTGAAGCACAAAATGGTGATAATTTACCTCCATGCAATTTCCACGGAGTATTAGCCAAAGATATGAATTTTGAGCCGAAAAGTAGGTCACTGTATGGCTGTCAATGAGAACCTAAATGTACAGTAACCTGTGACAATAGGAAAGGTGTTTTTAGCCCTGAAAAGGGCTGTTGGTGCCAGCCATAGGCCTGCCTTACAAGCCGTCTATCTGTACTAGGGGCTCACGTACCCTAGTACACCATCCTCGTCGTCTCAGCCTACTTTGTAGGGCCACTCCCCTCGGCATTAGTCAGGACATCGGCAGCTGGTCCGCAGAAGTGACGAAGTAGGAGTTCCGTAGTTACCGCCCACAGTTGAAGGCAAAATTTAAGTTGTCTACCAGCCAAGTTGTAAATCTTCTGCCGATGCTCTGTGCCTTCTCAGCGACGTGCACGCTCCGAGGGTAAGTGAGAAGGGGAGGCAGCGGGCTCGGGCAGCTCCTTTTATATAGTGTTCTAAATATAGCTCAAAGACTGGGCATGCGTATTGATACGCAGTTCTACTGATCGATAAATTAAGAAATGTGTCATTCATGTAAAAATTAAAAGAGTTTAATCTTGAATGATTAAACTTTGATATTATATGTCACAGAGATATGATCAACTCATTGTATTTTCATTACATTACAATTAAAAGATTGTATAGCGAATATATTTCTGTAAACTGTGATACCACTTTTGCTACTATTTGCTCATGTATGTTAACAAAATTTTCAATCTAACATGGGCACACTTTATTTAGCAACTAAGTATATTACTTTATCATGTCTTACAAAGTTCTTTTCCGTATATGTACCAAATTGTACCTTGTGACTTTTTTCTATTTGATGGGCTTTTATTCTAATCGACTTTAAACCTACTGCTGTCAGACAAAAAATATATTGCTGTCATTTTTTTTGACAAACATATCTCAACGATAATATCATAATAAAAAACCAGACAAAGGGTAACGAGACTTTATGTTAGGACAAGGACGTTTGGATATCTTTTTTCACTTTTAAATTTAATAACAATACGAATTTCAAAACAGAACAATACAGATGAACATGAACGGGAATATCATTTTCAAGTGAAAAAAAAAACAACAAAAAACAACTTTAAATCAATCAGTTTTTAAGCGAGTTCATTTGGATGTTCAAATTGTTAAATGGGATAAACACATTTTCTCTTTTGTAATGTTTTTTTACTGTGTTTGTTATACATGTTATACCTTTATTGTATGTCATCCTTTAAAAAGAATAACAAAAATAGCCAAAATCATGCTGAATCTAATCCATTTATGTATTAAGATTTATTGATATATTCACTTCTTGTTTAATACTGCTAATAGATAGTATCTTTAATTTATATTTATTCAAATGAAGACGTGAAAAGTTATAAGCTTACATGTCTGTTGATAACTATGAATAACTAAATAAAAAGAACTTATATGTTTGTGTTCTAAAAATAATTGGCGGCATAAGACGAATTTCGTTTTCATTTTACAACACTTGAAAAATTACTACAGAAAATATGTTGTTGTTTTTGTATTTTCTGATCGCAAGATCAGTAAATACATAGCTAACATCCACGGTCTAACACAAATTTACCTCACAGACCTAACAACGCAAAGTAGTTCTCACTCAAAACTGCTTAAAAACCAGCAATTTTAAAGAAAGAATAATTCTTAATGTAGACATTAAACGAATTACAGTGCATTTACAGTTTACATTAGTTAATAGAAATATGAGGTTACAATCACAAATTTCGCGGATGAATATCTTTTTTACCCAATGAAAAATGTTTGACTATTTCCGTAAAGCTTAATCAATGAAAATGCTATTTTTAGCTATGTCGATAACCGAATACACCAGAGCGTAGTACACAAATAAATCTGACTGTCGAGTAATGGAATATATACATGTCGGACTGTTTTGGCGAGATTTTCGCTATATTATTTTCATCAGTGCTTAACAACAGGTATTTTATCGTGAACAAAATACCTCGAAATTAATAAGGATTACAAATACGAAATGAAAATTCTCAATTTTAGAAATACAATATATTTTTTTTATTCACGCTACATACGTATTACTTCACTGTGGTGCAGAGGTAGTGTGCTCGTTTACGGAATTCCATAAACGACAGCCTACTGCTCACTGCCTACTGCTAACTGGACAGCCTGCTGCTCACTGCCTACTGCTAACTGCTTATTGGCAGTCTAAGTCTATGTATGGATCAAATAGAAGTATTCCGAAAGTACACACATGTGCGACCGCCATTTTGTTGAAAAAATCTGCTTGGAAAACAATGGTAAGTAAATTAAAAAGGATTATTTTATAATTAAGCCAAATAATTTGTAATTTCGAATTCATTGCAATGACTTGTGTACGTCCCATCATTGCACACTGCATTGATTATGTTATGAAATGGTTCCACGTGCCTTATGCACAGGTGATTGATAAATTGTCAAATATAGGACTCCTTTTAGGGTAAATCAACTTAATAATATTTTATTCACAAAGAATCTTTGTTCAACAATCAACATGGACGTAGTTCAGCCCACTATTCCTCGGTTGAGAGGCGGAGATCTGGACCATTATGTCAACACTCCCTTATTTTATTTAGAATTTCATAGTTTATTAAACTTTCATTTGACAATGTTATACATTTCTAGAAGAATATCTGCAATATACTGGTGAAATCACGGGTGAAATTTAGGCTAAACATTCTCTCATAATCAAAAATGTGTGAGTTCATTTAAGAGGTCATTTTGGTTCAGTTTTCATTGGCTGTTAGTTATAGCTTATAAATGTGTAATTCCTTATTAGATGTTATGTAATGAACTTTTGTTAAGTTGATTGCACTCTTTAGTTTATGTTGCAAAGATATGTGCTTTGAAGGTTTATTATAGAATCAATTTTATTCCAGTACAGAGGATGATAAATCTGACAGAAACATTTCAATGGAGGAACAGCCTATACTTTCATTTACTTCACAGACAAGTAACAGAACCAATACACCTGTATGAAAATATTGAAATTACAATGGAAGAGGAAAAGGACTACATAAATGTATTGGTTCTTATAGGCGAGTTTAACTCGGCTTCCTTCTGAAAGCATAAACAATGACAAACTTGGCTCAAATTGTTTCAAAAACGTTCAATATTTCAATGACATAAAGAGTGCAAACATGAGGTGATAAATTACAGTTTGGACCAGTTTATTTTACTTTTATGAAAAGCCATCGTTATTCTCTTGTTTAAATTCAATTGTGCTATTGAAAAACTCTGAAATAATAGATTCTTAACTAAGACAAAATGATCATGTTAATGTTACAATATATTTTTTGACGTGTTTGTTTAAAATCCATCTTTTATATAATTTTTATAATTACATGTATCTCGTGAACAAACACATTTAAAAGTGAACTTTAAGGTTGGTTATTTTTTCTATTTCCTTTTTGCAATTACTGCGAGCAAATCTTCCTTCGTATTTGCCAGAATCATCCAATGAAAGTCATTGCTATTTATATCAGGGTTTTAAAGGTTTGACAACTAAGGTAAACAGTTCTAAAACATAGTGATAGTGTAGAGCTTCTATGGTATAATATGAAGCATTTTTGCAACGGACGCGCCCTCAGGCGCGTTCAGAGCTAAGTCATCTACACATGGGATTTCGTTGGCTACACTCGCGCAATGTGTCCTAAACCAATTAACAGCCCAAGAAATAGTACATGAATTTGATCCTTCAAAACTCCCATACTTTGTCTGGATATCTTAATGTCTTCCATATTTAGCCTTTTCAATTTCAAATTAAGTTATCCAAGTTAAAATATGAACGTATATTGTTGATAAAAACGTTGTAGTCCCGTAGTATTATTGCGCAATATGCAAATTACTGCTGAAACGATTTACCGCTGTCGAAAAAGTAGGACAGCAAATTATACTTCAATAAAGGTGTAACCTCTGAGTTCCAAGACATTATTAGTAGGAAATAAATATTTCTACATTATACAAAACATTATTATTAACAAATCAAAAGTTTTTCGTGACTAGGATAAATCGCGCATTAATAAAAGAAGAACTATTTTCGTGACTCATACCGCGGGTTTAGCTGAATATTCAGCAGTTATTAATATATTAGATACAGTACAATGGCTAGTATAAATATCTATTTTTGAAAATGCATGTAAGACACTTTACCGCCATGTAGTCTTTCATGGTAAGGAAGTTATAATATCAGTTCTACATCCGATTCTTGTGGTTTGTTTACATATTTTACTAGGTCATGATATGAGTTAACCTTCGCTATTCTAAAAATAGATTCTGCTTCACCTGTTCTGATTTTTGGACAGGCGATTAGGAAGTACACATTAAACATGTAATTAATAAACCAGCGGATTGTAATGCAATACTTTTAGAAATGCTATACAATTGTAAGAAGCAAACAAGTTGAAAATGGAATTTAGTGTGAAGTTGAAAAGGACAACTAAACACTGTAGTGCTTAAGTGACATTTAAATTAAAATAAAAACGATGTTCTCTGGCCTCTACATCTTTACCTTGTAAATAAAAAAAATCTAAGAAATACACTATTAATTGCTGATGATTTTAACCAATTTTTTTAATGAGACATATCCAAGAGAAATACAAATACAAATGACTTAAAATCTTATTGTCTGTATGCCCACTATGATATAACACGAAGCAATTCTAAATAGCATTCTCAAATGTATAATGTATTATGTTTGAAGTTTATTTGCCTGGATTTATTCTAGAAATATTTCGTTGATAGTTTTTTTTCTATTTACATATCATTTCTTAGAATAGATCGATAAGGACACTGATTTACAAGTTTGACCAGAGTTTTTAGGCATAAATTTCATTCTGTATTTAAGT